CCGCCGCTGCCCTGGGCAGAGTACAGCGCTGCCACTGCCTGACTGCCACTGCCTGATGTGGCCTCACAGGTGTATAGCACTTACTGCCTTTGACACGTGGTTTGATTTACTGATATGTCTGCGTGTCTTCTCATTAAATGTGAGTGCCATAAGAGCAGCGATTTCCCCCAGCTCTTGCTGTGGAAGTCTCCAGCACACAGTGGCATTGGCAGGTGACGTCTGCGTGTCTTCTCTCATTAAATTCGAGTGCGACAAGAGCAGCGATTTCCCCCAGCTGCTGTGGAAGTCTCTGGCACACAGTGGCATTGGCAGGCATCTGCAGGCACCTGGGCTTTGACGCCAGCACCTTGCTAGGCCTGCCTTGTCACACCCTGTCCGTCTCTGGTACTCTGCCCCCCCTGGGCCTGTTGCTTGGCTGGTTTTTGTTTTGTTTGAATGAGGATAGGGTTCTGTCTTCACTCCTGGTGCTTGGGATGTGAGGCTGTGTGCCGTGGAATTCCTGGTGGGGGACTGCATTTAAAGTCTCTTGTTCTTTGGTCAACTTTTATATTCTAAACTTTGGGGACTGTGCTCTGTCATTTTATCTTCTCTTTCAGCTCTCTTCAACACACACGCGTTAATTTTAGCACTGTGGCCTTCCAGTCTTCCTCACACAAAGTTCTCGTGTATACGTAGAGACCTAGGCAGGGTTGGGGGGTCACCCAGCATCGTGGTCTGGAGGTGCCTGTCGTGTCTGCGTTGCCAAGAGGGAGGGCGGGTGACTGAAGGGGAGAGAGAGCTGAGCTTCCCAAAGCCCCATGGCAGGAAGGTAAGTGGAGGCCGGCTCCTGAGGGGAACGGGGTACTGGGCGACTGTCCACACTGGTGGGGGAGCGAGAGGGCCAGGCACTCTGGGCCCGGGTGGCGGGATGGCTCTGGACCTGCCGAGTGCACACCTGTGCGATCTGCTTGTTCGCTCAGGGGTTGTTTATGGAACGCGTTGTGGGCCTGGAGGCCGTGGTGGAGCTCGAGGGCAGGCGCCTGATGGAGGTGGGTTTCGGGCGGTGGGGGCTGCAGGGTCAGAGACGGGTCCAGCCTCCTGGTGCTGCTGCTGTGAGGGGAGAAGGTGACAGCCAGCAGCTGATGGCCGAGGAGCTCCAGGACGTGATTTTGTGGTTGCTTTTTGCTGCTAACTGGGGAGATGTTACTCTTGAGTAAGCATGAGCGACCCCGCGCACTGAGGAAGAGGGCGGTCACTGCTGCCTGGTCCTCGAGGAGGTGAGGGGTCTGGGTGGCAGGGCAGAGCTTTCCGCTGGAAACTCACTACTGGCAGGAATATGCACAGCGGGCGCTTAAACGGCGTTCAGCTTGGGAGTGACCACACGCAGTACATGAATAGGGAAGAATAATTAAGACTCTATTTCTGTGCCAAAACTAAAATTTGGACTTGAAGGGAAATTATTTTAAATAGAAGTGAATTTTGCAAATCTCTTCTTTCATGATGGAAAAGGTCACTGTGCTGGGGCAGGACTGGCCCCAGCTGGGAGAGTGGGTGTCGGTTGGAGCTTTCATTGTGATCATCTCTGGGAGCCCTACGTGGAGTGGAAGAACCAGTGATTCTAGTAAATACTAAGTTACATTTTCGAACTGTGTCTAAATAGACTAATATTTATAAAAGCAGCTTTTGTGTTAAGAGAAGTTAAAACCCAGAGAGCTGCATGTCTTTTTTTCCCTAATGTATTTCATGTATGTGGTAAAAAAAATTGTTTTTTAAAATAACTGTCAGAATGTAAAAGTATAAATAAATTAAAACTAAAGCTTCCCTGCCTCCCTCCCCCTGAGGTCCATTCTTGGAAATTCTTCCAGAATTTTTGTACACAAACCTCCTTTCGGTTTTACACAGTGGGTGGCGCCTCACCTCCCTCTGCCTCCAGCACTGGGGTCCCCGTGGGTGAGGCACAGGAGAGCCTTGCTGCTCTCCGCGGCTGCCCGGCTCCGGAGGGCCCGCGCCGGGCCGGCAGAGCAGAGTCTGGCCAGCAGCCAGCACCCCACACTTGCACACCGTCGGGTCTTCACGCAGGCGTTGAACGTTATCTGTTGCTGTCGAACTCAGTGTGTCCGTGTTACACAGTTAAGTAAATCATATTAAAAACAGGACCTGTTATGTATCAATATTAAGCATTTTTATTTCTATATTCCCAAGGCTTTGAATCAGGATAAAACACATATTTTCAAGTGACCCTTCAAACGTTTTCTCTAAATAACACAACAAAAATGAATTTTAGGACTATCTCTGAATTTTAAAAATACATTAAAAAGTGCGTGTTTATTGGTGGCTGCAGGCTCATCCCTGAAATGACGCGGTTCACTGTGGCTCCTGGACTCCCGTAGCTTTGACACGCTCACTCGCTTTGCTGGTGGTGGTGCCGAGAAGGCCTGGAAGGCTCCGCTGAGAGTGCGGCGGGGCCGCAGCAGCCCCAGAGAACTACTGCAGCTTCTCTCTCCTCTCTCTGTTTCTAGGTTAAATTGAAATTTCTTCTAATACATTTTGAATTCTGTAATAATTTTATATTTCATAGAGGAGTTTCCAAGATGGCACAGAGTCCCTGTGTGTCCCTCAGCCGTTTCCCCGTTGGCGTTCCCGTCACCACGAGTGGCTCCCACCTGGACTCTGACCCGGGCACCGGCCGTGGACTCCGGGTTTCAGTTGGGTTTCTCGCTCTCCGTCCCGTCCCAGGCCCTCCCGGCCTGTCTCGCCACCTCCTCTTTGAGACGTCTCCTCCACCTGGGGCTCCCTGTTTTGGGCCCGTGACCGTCTGAGGAGCACCAGTCGGGGATTTTGTCGAATGTCCCTCAGCGGGAGTGTGGGTTTTGGGGAAGAAGACCCCCGGGGTGAGGTGTCCTCCACGTGGTCCCGTCTCGGGCGGGGTGTCCGTGGGACTCGCTCCGTGGTGTTGGCGTTGGTCCCTGGCTGCGCTGGTGTCCGCCTGCCCTCTCCACAGCAAGCCCACTCTCCTCCCCCGTCACATTCCGCTCGCACTCTTAATTTATGTTGTTAAAACCCGTCGTGTTTGAAATTTTTGGGTTAAATCCTTGTTTAAGAATAACACTAGATCATTTGACCTCTGATATAGTTTAATTTTCTCCCATGAAAAACCGATCCCACTGTCTAGAGTGAAAACCTGGGTAGATGTGGCGGCAGGGGGCCAGCTCTAGATGTCGCTCCCGAGGATGGACTGGAAGTAGCAAAGGACCCCTGACCCCGTCAATGACCCCGACGGCCCACACCCTGTTCCCGGCCGCTTCCCTCTTCTGCTGGCAGAGGGGACATGGGGACACGTGCTTGCCCGTCTGTCTGCAGGGTGTGGTTCTGTCCCTGCCATGTCCCTAGAGCTGCTGTGGGGTATGAGCAGGCAGCTGTTTCTCAGATATATGCTTCAGAGTTTCGCTGGGAACGCTAATCCCAAGAACTTGTCACCCGAGTCTGTTTCTGCAGGACACTCCGTTGTGGTGAGCAGGCAGAGCTCGTGATACCCGGAGGGGCCGTGCCAGGCCCTGCGGGATGGGGGCGGTGTTGCTCTGGGGCCAGTGTCCCGGCAAGAGTTCTGGGCTGTGAACCCTGGGGAGGTGGGGGAAGGGTCTTTGCCCTGGTGTTTCCGTGTGCTGACAGGAACAGGTGCTTGGTGTCTGTGCCACAGGGCCCTCGGGGCTATTCCAGGGCTTGGTGGAAACCTGCGCAACACGCCTCTGGAGGGGCTGGCCCAGGAGAGGCGGCCTGAGCCTCCACCTGGCAACCGCGGTCCTCACAGGGGCCTGCTGCTTCCCAGCAGGAACTGTTCATCAGGTCCTCCTGGCCCAGCCGGTGCCGGAGGCGTGAGGTGCAGGGGTGAGCTGCCGAACCCACCTGGGACGCTCCGCCGACTGGGCAGAGATGGGGTCACGCATGGGGAAGGGCGACCTTTTAGGACAGGATAGGACAGGACGGTGGGAACAGCACGCTGGCTGCTCAGGCGGGTGCGGAGGTGGTGTGTCCCACGACAGTCCCTGGCCTTGGCGTCTGAGAGCATGTGGAGCTGCCCAGGCCTCTTCCTTCGGTCCCGTTGCTTCTGGAGCTCCAATGGGGTCGGGTGTTCTCCAGGCCCTAGACCCTTCCAAGGACCTTTAAAATGAAAGGTGACCAGAGCACAATGGGTACGGAGCTCAACAAATTGCAGAACATTCTGGAACCCTGCCTGGCACCGTGCCATTGGGAGCCCACATCCCAGGCAGGTGCAGGGTCTGATCTGTGCAGCAGGCAGTCGGGGTGCTGCAGGAGCCTGGGCGTCCCCAGGGCTCCCTGCCACGGCTTTCAGCAAGTGCACTGTCCCAGACGTGTGTGTGACACGCTCTGGTTTCCATCGGGTCTCTGAGGGGCCTGTCTCCCCCGCCCGCAGCCCGGCCCTCTCTCACCAGGGCTGGTGCACTGGCGCACGGGGCGGGGGCACCTGCAGAACGCAGACTGGGGAGGTCTTTCGAGGGTTTCGTTTTAGATCTATTTACTTGTTTTCTTTTAGGGAATTTCTGAATTTGAACTGTTTGATGTAGAAATGTTTGAGGTATATTGGCACAGAGGGTTTTCCAATTAATGTTAGGTTCAAGGTTCAGATTTCATCTTGTTCAGTTGTTTGACCACGTGACTTGCTGTCTGCTGGCCCCAGTTGTGGCAGCGCAGGAGAGAAGGGTCAGGGACGCTGGCCATGGAGCGCGTGAGACCTTTGAAAAGGGCCAGGTCGCTACCTGACAGGCCGCCTTTGGGATGAGAACCTGTCTTTAGTTGGGTCCCCCGGGGGCTCTGGCCCGCGCACAGTGAGGACTCGCACCTGCGCTGCGCGGCCTGGGCTAGCCCCACGGCCTCGGGGCCCTCACATCACGGAGGGAGAAACAGGCTGAGACGTCCACCGCAGCTGGGTCAGGAAGCGGTTGGAGCGGGCCGGGCTCTCCCGCTCTGCGCCCTGCTGACGCCACCGCCTTCCCCGCCCGCAGGTGTACATCGGGGAGCTGCCGCAGGACTTCCTGCGCATCACGCCCACGCAGCAGCAGCAGCAGATCCAGCTGGACGCGCAGGCCGCCCAGCAGCTGCAGTACGGAGGGGCGGTGGGCGCCGTGGGCCGCCTCAACGTCACCGTGGTGCAGGTGGGTGTCCCTCCCTCCTTCCTGCCAGGGCAGCGGCGGTATGGGAGGATTTCGGCGTTTATGCCTCATTTCCTACGTGGACAAACGGAACTTTTTCTGAGTCCAGCTTTTCTTGAAATGTGTCTGATGTTGAAAAATGATATGTGTGAAAAATATTGATCACTCCAGGCTCTGACAAGAATAATTAAAATCACGATAGTGACTTGGGGGCCTCCCGGCCACCTCCTGCAGGGGCCTGGTAACCGCAGGCCGAGTGCCAGGGCTGGCCGGGCCTTGGTGATGGCGTTGGCACTGCCCACCCTCTGGCCGCTCCCGTTCTCTCGTGAGCCTGAGAGCCCGCCGTGGCAGCCAGCCTGCACCCTGCACGCACCCACCTGGCCTTCTGCGGTGATGGGAAACGTCCGTCTCCTGACCTGGGGCCTCGGCCTGTGGTCTCCTCTCCTCTCTGAGTGGAGCCGCTTCCCTCAGCTGCTGGGCCACATGTGGTGCCCCGTCCACCTCTCCTGCCTTCTGCCTCCGATGGGGTGCCAAGGGGGCCTGTCCTCCACCTTCCCCCCATCTTTGCCCACATGCCCAGGTTTGATGGCCCTGCAGCCCTGCGGGTATGAACACCGTGTGCACTGGCTCTGGCCCGAGCCGGCCACTCAGCTCTACCCCAGATTCCCAGGTGCAGACCTCCCTGGGTGCCCAGCGGGCCCGTCAGACTCCTTTTGCCGCAGTGGAGCTCTCGTGTCCGCCCCAAAATCCCCTGCTCAGCAGTGGCAGTTCCACCTTCTGGAAACCAAAGCCCTTGAGCGGCTTGAGGACACCGTAGCCCAGGCGGGCGCTCGTGTTCCTTTCTGGGGGTTAGTGCCTCCTGTTCCTGACGTTGGCTTCCTTTCAGGCGAAGTTGGCCAAGAATTACGGCATGACCCGCATGGACCCCTACTGCCGACTGCGCCTGGGCTACGCGGTGTACGAGACGCCCACGGCCCACAACGGTGCCAAGAACCCTCGCTGGAATAAGGTCATCCACTGCACTGTGCCTCCGGGCGTGGACTCCTTCTACCTCGAGATCTTCGATGAGGTGAGGGACGCCCACTGCCGCAGAGGCCACCCGTGGGGTCGGAATAGGTCCCTGCAGTCTGTGTAGGCTGCCAGCCACCTGTGAGGTGGCCCCCACCTGGCACTCTAGTGGGCAGGAGACAGGGTCCTGCTTTCCCCTGAGGGGTTTGGAAAGGATAGCGCCTAGCTCCTTCCGCAGCCTCGCATGTGGGATGCCACCAGGATGACACACAGGACCCTCTGGGGACAGAGTATGGACCTGTGTCCCACCAGCAGCACCACCAGGTGGTCACTGCTCGCCAGAGCCTGAGTCCCAAGTGTGTGCGGCTGCATTGCTGGCCGTGAGTGTTCTTGGTGGCCGAGTCTCAGTAGCCACTGGTAGTGTCCCCTGAGCGTCCTGAGCCGCGTTGGTGGCTGTGCGCTGCAGCGTTCAGGGGGCTCCTGAGGAAGAGCTGGAAGTGCAGATGGACGCAGCGAGCCTCTTGTGCAGCTGGTCAGCACCTCGTGCCTGGAGCACTGCCCGGGAGCCGGAGGGGGCGTGGGGCAGCCGGGCCAGCAGGTGGCACGGCCTGTGCCCCTGCCCTGCCCTTCTGGTTCCTCCCCTCGGTCCTCAAGGATCAGGAGTGTGGAGAGCGTGGGGTTGGTGTGGGCAGCAGGGCAGGTCCTCCTGCTTTCCGTCTGTGCCTACCCTGCTTTGGGGCTGGCATAGGGGGCGGCCAGAGGATCAGGGGTCGGGCCCCAGGGTGAAAAAGGAGCAGCTGGTGTCCTTGAACCACGACTGGACGAGGACAGCAGCGGGGGCTCTGTCCTCAGGGCCAGCCCTGCCCATCCTGGTGGTCGGAAGGCAGGGAAGCCCCTTCACCATTCACTACCACCATCGATGCCCTCACTAGCTCGGCCCTGGAGGTGTCTGGGGGTCTCGTTAATGGGGAACTGGTGGGGGGGCCATTCTGGGACGAGCGGGAGACTGAGGGGTCCTCGATGGAGGGGTGGTGGGAAGGCAGAGCTCCTGCTTCGGGGACGGGGCGTGGGTTGGGACGTAGCAGACACCTTCCCTATTGTCTCTGCAGCGCGCCTTCTCCATGGACGACCGCATCGCCTGGACCCACGTCACCATCCCCGAGTCCCTGAAGCAGGAGGGCGCAGTGGAGGACAAGTGGTACTGCCTGAGCGGGAGGCAGGGCGACGACAAGGAGGGCATGATCAACCTCGTCATGTCTTACTCGGTGAGCCTCGGCCTCGGGCGGGTGGCTGGGACGCTGGTCGTGTCCCTGAGACGGCCGCCCTTTGAGGCGGTCCCACTTCAGGTATACTCGGCTGCCCCCCCCCCCCCCCGCCGCCCTTGGGTGGGGCTGTGTCGCCTGCCAGGGCCAAGATGCAGGTGGCCACCGCGTGCCTGCTATTCTGGGCTCTGTGCCAGGCGGGCCCCTCCCCACAGGGCCACTACTGGCCTCACAGTGGCCCAGCGTCTCCTCGGGGACACATGAGGGCCACTGCCTTCTGGCCTGTAAATCGGAGGCCGTGCCGTGCCGGGCAGGGGCAGCTCCTATGAGTCTGTCCTTGGGCCCCTACAGCTCCCGGGGGATCAGGGAGCAGGTTAGGGGAACTGGTACCACGTCCTTTGTATCACCTAGGAGTTTTTTTAAAAATTAGTGTTATTTTAATTTTTTACTGTAAAACATTTCAAGCAAATACGGCAGTCGAGAGGTGTGTGAGCGGCCTGTGTGTGCCGGCGGCCCGTCCAGTGGCAGCTCCCGCGTGCAGGCTGCTGCCTCCGGCTCGCTGTGCAGTGGGGCAAGGTCTCATGCTGCGCTGGCCTGGAGCGCGGCCGCGTGATTGGCGATGCCGTGATGTTCTAGAACATATCCCGGATGTGAGTGCAATCCCTCAAGAATGCCGTTACGCACCTTTAATAGACTCTTTTATATGATTACAAAACATTGTTACACTCAAGTAGCGCACTTGCAGTTAACCTTTTTTGGACTGAGGTCTGAGATTGTTGTGAGTGACGCAAGTGCTGACGTGTCTCACCAGGCAGACCCTGAGGACTGCACTCGGAGGCGCTTCCTCACTCCATGTGCGCTTGGTCATGCCCGGGCTCTGGCAGCACCTTCCAGCCCAGGTCCCCGAGCTCAGGGCGGGTGGGCGCCGAGGCGAGCGGCCGGGCGTCTGTGCAGGGGCTCTGCGCTCCCAGGCCCCATGTCCAGCTCACGGCTGGGATGGCAGTGGTGCAGCTGGGTGACAAGGCTTTGACGTGTGGCGTGTTCTTCCGTGTGTTTCAGTTGCTGCCGGCCACCATGGTGATGCCGCCCCAGCCGGTGGTGCTGATGCCGACCGTGTACCAGCAGGGTGTCGGCTACGTGCCCATCGCAGGTGGGTCCCGCCCCTGCAGGGGCAGGGTTGGGAGGAGGGGAGGGACTCAGCCACAGCGCAGGCGTTCGGTGCAGCTTAGCACCGAGTGCATACCCTGACATTTCAGAAAGGTCTTTGTAAAAGCAGGGGAGGCTGGTGTGACGTTTGAATGTTTTATACGTGTGTGGAAAGCAGAGTCTGTTTTCTCGGACTGTTGGCACACGCAACGTGAGCTGAGATTTTCCGAGCCGTAGAAATGTGATTTCTGGGCATCGATCGTGGAGCCCAAGCTCTGCGCTGGAAGGCCCTGTTCCCGTCAGGCGGAGCAGACTGCTGCTCACGTCGGTTGTGCGTGTGTGTCTGCCTGTCTGAGCTGGCAGTCTGTGCTCATAGCCCAGCGGGAGTGGCTTTTCACGTGGTTGCATTTTCAGACCCCACGTCAGCTCCGGGCTCACCCGCACTGTGGCCATGGCAGCAGCAGGCACTTCCCTGGCCCTACCACTAATAGCCATAGCAGCCACAGCGGTGGGCCACATGTTGACCAGCAGGCCCCTGGGAGAAGAGACACTTGGGGTGAGCCTGTGGTCACCCGGGTCTCTGCCTGAGACAGTCTCTGCGTGGGTGTGGGGAGCCAGAGTGGGCCAGGCGCAGCAGGGGGCACTCTGTCCAAGGCGGTGGGGGCCGGAGTCTCTGCCAGGGTGCGGGGAGCCAGAGTGGGACAGGCGCAGCAGGGGGCCCTCTGTCCGAGGCGGTGGGGGCCAGAGTCTCTGCCTGGGTGCGGGGAGCCAGAGTGGGACAGGTGCAGCAGGGGGCCCTCTGTCCGAGGCGGTGGGGGCCAGAGTCTCTGCCTGGGTGCAGGGAGCCAGAGTGGGACAGGTGCAGCAGGGGGCCCTCTGTCCGAGGCGGTGGGGGCCAGAGTCTCTGCCTGGGTGCGGGGAGCCAGAGTGGGACAGGCGCAGCAGGGGGCCCTCTGTCCGAGGCAGTAGGGGCCGGAGGCCAGGCTGTGGCAGTGGCTGGGTCACGGGCTGGGCGTTGGAGACGTGTGTGTGGTGAGGCCCCAGCTGCTCGAGCTCTGGGGTGGCTGTGGGGTAGGGCAGGACGGGTCAGCCAAGCAGCATGGATGCTGGAGTCTGGCCCAGACGAGTGGAGAGGCCTCATCAACACCCTGTCACACCAGTGTCCAGTGGGGACGTGGGGGCCACCTCTGGAGTCGGAACCTCACCCTAGACCCACTGTGACGGGCCTGGAACCCAGCCCAGGCGGAGGGAGGAGACGGGCTTGGCGAGCTCTGTGCTGTCCGCCTGTGAGGATGCACCTGGGGACCAGCAGCCTCCACTCTTCAGGGGACAGTGCGGACTCGCGAGCGTCTGCTGTTGCGCGGTGGCCTCTGTGGAGTCTGGAGTCCGTTAGCAGCCAGGGTCCGGCAGAGACCGGCACGTGTACCCACAGTTGGGGACAGACCAGCTGATAGAAAGTGACTCAGGATGACCCAGAGCGTTAAAGTGGCTATACCGTGTTCGAAGAGTCAAAGGAGGCATCTGACCAAACGCAAAGAAAGCGTTTCCATCGCAGCAGAGAAGTTTAAACAATGAAAGAACCAAGGGCCCTTGCTGAGCTGTGACGTGCGGTGACCGGGGTTGTGCCGTCTCCCCGGAGCTGCCCTGCGGTGCTGGGGTCCTTCCCGCGGAGGCCCTCTGAGGTCAGCCGCAGCAGCGCTGCTCGGACGGGCTCGCGACATCAGGCAGCCCCCAGCCCCTGAGGCCCGATCCAGGTGGAGCTGCCGCAGCGCCGCGCCCCGAGGGCTCTGGGGGGCTCTGCCTCGTCTCGGCAGTGCTGGGCCGGGCCATCCTGCCAGGTGGCCGCAGGGCTCCAGCTCTGACCTCTGACACGGCTGCCTGCGTCCCACACCTTCTCTCCTGTGTGCGTGAGGGTCCTCTTAGGACACGGTCAGCGGACGGGGGCCCACCTTGCTCTGTCTCGGCCTCACTCTGCCTTGGTTCCATCTGCAGAGAATGCGTTTGCAAGTGAGGTCTCGGGTGGGCGCTGGGTTAGGAAGTGGCACCTTCTCGGGACACGGCTCCATCCACCACAGGCACCTGTACCGGGTGGAAAGTCAGCTTTCAAATCAGATGGAAAATACACGGACCTGTTTAATCTTTTTCTCCTCTTTCTCTTTCACTCTCTCTATAAGTACCTGTTTATTTTAGGAAAGGCTGGACGAGACTTCGAAATGCCCTTTTGATGTCCATTTTTAAGTTTTGAAACAGTCTCATAGAAAAGCTGCATAGGAGATAAAAATGTTTTGCTGGGACCTTTGGGAATTCTTGCTCACCGGGCGCCCCCTGCGCCCCATCCTGGAGCACATGTCCCCCCTCCCTGCGAGCCAGATCACCCTGCCTGGGACGGCCGTCCAGATCCGCACGATGTTGGCGCAGTGGCACCGTCAGCTGCGCAGACCCATCTGGGTGTTGCTGGGTGGCAGCCGCCAGGTCCCTGTTGTCCTCTGTGGCCGTGTCCCCTCCGCCTGGAGCAGGCCCCGCCTCGCTCGGGAGCACTCGGGCTGGGGATCCGGCAGGGCTCTGCTGTCCACCCCAGTCCGGAGGTGTCCCTTGTCCATGCCCACAGCAGGCTCCGTCCCGCTGCTCTGCGGGGAAGCGCTGCTTTTCTTGCCCCTCGCAACAACCGATTGGCGTCTGGTGCAGGAGACACTTCAGGACCCCGCAGGTATCCTGCTTCTTGCCAGACCCCCTGGCAGTGCGGGCTCTCGGCTTCCTGTTTTATCCCACAGGTTGTCATCTGTTCTGATGTTTGTTTATCACTCAGTTACCAAGGTTCGGCCAGAGGGAGCCCCTCTGGCACCGCGGGAGCCCGGGCTCACCTGTGGTCTCCTGGCTCAACCCTGGAACTAGCCGTTTCTTGCAGGAAACAGGGCCCCGGCACTAGAGAATTGCTTCATTATCTGAGCAGTGTTTGTCGTGAGTGTTAGCAAAGCACCCACTTCACTGAACGATGGCCTCGTTTCCCCTCTGACACAATTCCCGAGTGTGTGCAGTGGCAGCGCCGCCCTCCCGGAAGCATCCCGCAGACGCGCCAGGGAGGGTGTGGTCGGCAGGGACCGTGTGGAGACTGGCCGATGCGGCTTTTCCTGTCAGGGAGGTCGGAGGCGGTGAGAGCGGTGGACTTGAACTAGGGATTTTTTCTCTCAAAAGCTGAATCTCAAAGTGCAGGTTTCCTGAAGCATTTTGTTCCTCACCTGCCTTCTTGAAAATACAGTGCTCTAACTTTCCCTGAGTCACCTCATGCTGTGTTTCAAGCTGTGGAGCCCTGAGCTTGCGCTTCCTCCGCTGCTCTGCTGCACGGCGCGGTGGGCTGTGCGGGGTGCGTGCGTGGGAACGGGCTGTTGGCGAGTGCGGGTGGCGTCCTGCAGGAGGAGGGTAGGGCGAGCCGCCGGGCACGGCCGGGGTGGCACAGGGACTCAGGGCTCACCACGTGCTTGGTGGACGCGGTCCCCACGGGGCACACGCTGAAGGCCGAGGGCCACGAGCTGGCTGTGCCCTCAGAGAACCGTCCTCTGCTGAGTCAGAGACAGAGCCCCCCGCCAGGGTGACTGGCGAGTGCGCCAGCGCGTCTCCCAGCTTCCCCTCTGCTTCTCCCAGAAGTGGGGAGAGATGAAACGTGGCCGCACGAGGGAACGAGGTCAGGACAGAAAACACCAGCACGTGTCAAAGCTGCCAAGCCGTGAACCGTGGCTTGGAGAGAGAGGGTGAGTTAGGGCTTTTTAAAATGAAGGATCATCTTGATGGCTGAAGTCATTAGGTTTTAGCAGATTTCACATGATTAGTTGATGGGCATCATAAGGTTATAGCAGGGTTTTTAACCTTAGAGAAACATCTGAGCACGAAGCGTCTGAAGAGCGTGTGACTCCATGAGGCTGTGGCTCTGCGCTGGGAACTGCAGCGGGAAAGGGAGAGGCCAGCTTGGCGAAGGTCAGGTGCCGCTGGCTTCCAAGCGCTGTCCAAGGGGCCGGCTGTCCCTGGGCTGAGGAGGGACGCCTGGGCTGCAGCCACCGCCAGGCCGGGGTTGCTTTGGTTGCCCCCAGCGTGGCTGTCCTGGAGGAGGCTGTGAGCCTCGGGGGGAGCAGCGCTGTGCCTGTGGGTCACATGGAAGAGCCACGCCATCCCGCCTGTGCGTGCTGGGTGAGGGAGGGAGCAGCGAGTCTGCCCTGGGGGAGCCTCCGCAGCCCCTCTGGGCCTCGAGGACGTCTGAGGCTGAGCTGGCACCTGCGTGTCAGTGGCTGGAACAGCACAAGGCAGCGGAAGGCGCGGCGACGGAAGGGCCTGGCCACTTGCCATCCATCCTGGGGGAAGAGTCATCCCATCCGGTTTTCCTGACCCTGTGAATTGCTGCTCTGCGTCCTGTCTGCAGTGTGAGAGCTGACGGAAGGCGTGGGTTCCCACGGCTCACGGCCTGGCCGCGGGGACACCGGCGTGCTTGTGCTCGCCGGTGTGCGGTTGCCGCCGTGGCTGAGCTTCAGCGTCTCCCTCGGGCCGTGCGCGCCCCCCCCCCCCCCCCAGTCCCTTGGCCGTGGTCTCTGTGCGCGGCCCCTCAGTTCTGTGGAGCTGGCCCGGCGGCAGCGCAGACGTCCTAGCAGATGGAAAGCAAAGCCGCACTCGCGGACGCGCTGCCCTCGTGTGGTCGGGACAGAGAGGACTGCGGAGCACGTCCGCGTGGCGGCATAGCTAGCGCCCCGGAGTGTCTGTCCCCCACCAGCTGTGGCCCGCGTGGCGGCCGGTCCCCTGCTGACCCGGGTGCTATGCCTGCTCTGCGTGCCGTGGCCTTCGCGCACGGGCGCTCTGTGGATGGCAGGTTACGCACTTTGGTTTCCCGGGCGACGTACTGTCTGAGCGTCGAGAACCCGAGTGTGACAATGTGTGCCCACCACGGTCCCCATGGCGTGAGCGTCCTCGAGCTGTCTCCTGCCACAGGAGGGGACGTGGCTTTTCTGTGTGCAACACGTCTGCCCTGTAAGTGCGTGTGCCAGGCAGGGCCAGGGCTGCCACGGGGGTCTGGGCTCTGCTCTGCCCAGTCCCTGGGGACTTTGGGGTCCACCAAGGCTCTGGAGCTCCTTGTCCTGTGTTCCCGAAAGCGTCCCCAGCCAGCCCCAGCCCGCCACACTCATAGCTGTCTCAGGATGGCGGGGACAACACACGTGTCAGGTGTGACGGAAAGTGCTTTGCCTGGGAGGGGTTGGGGACGGTGCCCCATCCGGGCTGCGTGGTGTGAGCAGGATGTGCTGGGGCTCGCGTGAGCCCTGCTCCTCGCTCCCACTGCGCTCCTGCAGCCAAGCTCAGCCCGTTCCAGCGCCTCTTAGGGCCTTGTTGCCAATTCGATTTAGGCCAGTGTTAAAGATAGAGTTCTGCCTTCACAGCCTTTCAGATTTAGAAACAAAAAACAATTATGTCCTAAAATTATCACTCCAGCTCTCCTGGGGGCCTGTTGGGAAGAGCGTGCTTTTGAAGGTGAGAGCCTGAATGACTTGTCAGGCTTCTGTGACTTGTTGGCGTCAAGGCAGGACTCTGTGATGTGTGAGTCCTCAGCCTGGCCGCCACCTCCTGCGCTCAGGCCTGTCTCGGGCAGCGGTGCCAGGAGGGAGATTCTTCCTTGCTGCCCCTGTGCTGCCCTGAGTCACTGTCCTGGTCTGCTCTCCGCGCCTCACGGCGAGGCCGGGAGCCACCCCTGCCACCGCCTGCCTCGAGTTTTTGTGAGCATTTCCCCAGGTGGTTTTGTTGAGACGTGTGTTGTGTTCATCGTGGACGTGGGTGCAGCTTCACGGAGGTGTTTTGTGCCAGCCGGGGCCTGTCTTTCCCACCAGTGACGGTTATGTGACACATTGCCAGTCTGCGGTGCGTGCTTTGGTGTCTGCCGAAGGAAGAGTAGGTGTTGGGGGCAAGCACAGTGTGTGGCTCTTGCTCAGGCGGACGGTGGCTTCAGTCAGTGACGTCTCGGGCCAGCCCACGGGGTCTTGGATCCAGACGGCTGGGCACCTGGGTTCACCCTGGCCTGACCCAGCGACTGTATTGTCACAAAACAGGCGCGAGTGAGAGTTGAGTGAAGTGCATTTTCATGTGCGCTGGAGCATGCATCCCCGCCCGCCCCGTTCTCTCCACGCGAGCCTGGGCTGGGTTCAGGTCACCAGTTTCACGGAGCCTGGGCTGGGTTCAGGTCACCAGTTTCACGGTGTCTCGCAGGTTCCGTGTCTCGGGGGAGCTAAGGTGGCGTCTCCTGCGAGGCTGCCAGTAGCAGGCGCTGCCTGTTTCCGTTAGCACCGCGCTGTGGTGAGACTTTGCGTTTTCACCAGACTCGATCTTCTGCTTCCAGGAATGCCCGCCGTGTGCAGCCCCGGCATGGTGCCCGTGGCGGTGCCGCCGCCAGCCGTGAGCGCCCAGCCGCGCTGCAGCGAGGAGGACCTGAAAGCCATCCAGGACATGTTCCCCAACATGGACAGGGATGTGATCCGGTCCGTGCTGGAGGCCCAGCGGGGGAACAGGGACGCCGCCATCAACTCGCTGCTGCAGATGGGCGAGGAGTCCTAGACCTGCCGCCGCCTGCCACCTGCTGCCAAAGGCGCTCTGGACTTGCCAACCCAGGGGTTCCCCAGGGAACACCGTCCCCACAAGATCCCAGTGAAAGACCCCGTAGCCCCCTGGACCTCTGTGTCACCCGTCCACCCTGCCTGGGATGCTGTGGGTTCGGCCCTGGAGGGCGGGTGTCTCCCCTGCTCTGGTGTTGGAGGCGGGGCGGGGCTGTGGCGCTTGGCACAACTTCCTTTCCTGTCGCTTGGGGGTGGAGTCTCCCCTTCTCCCGCTGTTCAGGGAAACGTTCTTGTTGTAGGAAGTGGCTGGCCCCCCAGGGTGTGGAGCTTGCTGCCCCCTTCCCACCCCATCCACAGCATTTAGTTATTCGGCTTAGTTGAGGTAGACCTGTTATTTGAGGCACACAGATCCATCCACACTGACTCGGAATTATTTTTAGAGCTGCCAAGATGACACTCACGTCCTTCCTGGGCGCTGTTTACCTGGGCCCCGCCCGCGTCTGGTCCGGGCTACCTGGGCCAGGGCAGCCTCCTGCCAGCAGCCGCAGGACCCGCCTCTCCCGGCTTGCCTCGCCCGTGTGCCACCCTGGGAACTCGGGACGCGCACAGGCCAGACGGCCCTGAGGCCGGGCATGCTCACCCGCCTGTCTCCCCTGCCCTGCTCCTGCCGCCCCGGGGTGTCCTCCCTCTTCCGCAGAGCCGAGGTTCGGGTGGCAGGTCGCCGACGCGCCTGCTGCGTGTCTGCCGAAGGGCCCGGCTCTGCCGCTGACGGCCGCGCAGGCGCCTGGCGTCGTGGGTCCGTCCGGGAGAGGAGTGGAATCTGGCGAATGTCAGCACGCTGAGACCTTTCAGGGCCTGCAGGTGCCCTGCCTGCCCCTGACCACCCGTCACCACGCGTGGCATCTTGGGTTGCAGGACAGTGGGTGACACCTGGCTGTGAAAATCAGAAATCTGAGAAATTTATCAAAAGTGATGAATGCACTTTAAATAATACTCACACCATTGAACCCGTGTGCATTGTTCATGTCTGCGATGTCGCTGGTTCGCATTAACCTGCAGCTGCTGGTGTTTCTCTCCCGTGTCTGCTCCAGCCAGTGGGCGTCAGCCTGCTGCTCAGACGGAAGGCGGACGCTGGCCCTCGGGGTTCTGCAGAGGACGTAGGATGAGGAAGTTGGTACTCGAGGGTCCGTCTTTTCCCCCCAAATTAGAGGTTTTTAGTGTCAGCTAGAAAATACTGCTTTTGTGCCTCCTGTTGGGGGTGCTTTTTGTCAAATGCGTTGTTGATAAATATTTATTTTTGTAAGCCTGCGGGAGGTTCTGGGGTCTGGTGGCACCAGGTGCCATTTGTGCTTCAGTGGCGGGGCCGCCAGGGCTCTGCTCTCGTGGCGAGGGAGGGTGGCTGCGCCGGTCGGCAGACCTGGGCCCTCGCCTGGACAGAGCCGACCACTGGAGCCGCCTGCCTCAGCCTGGGGCTCGTGCCCGTGGGCGGCTGCCTCGCAGGCAGGTTGAACGTGTCGGGAGGACTGTGACTTTCTAGGTTATTTATTCAGTGACATCGACAGGCCCGGCACGGATGGAACTGGAGCCCGCTCGGGGGCGTTGGTGCCGGTTCCCAGGCCTGGCCGCCACACCAGTTTCTGCCTTAATGTTGCTGGGAGGCCTCCAGGCTGGCTTGCCTCGCCTCGCCTGCGCCTCCCGAAAGGACGCTCTGGCTCCGGCGCAGCAGCTCGGGGACCCCAGGGTGGGGGTGCCGGGGCGGCGCTGGCTATAGGGAGAGCGATGGTTTCAAGGTGACCCCGTGCTTACTGCCACCTCTTGTTTTTCTCTTTCATGAACGTTTTATTTTTTTAACAGAGCAAAGAATGATCACGTTTATAAGGCCTTTGGTTAGGTGAAATTCCTCTTTCCTTCATTTTGTGCCGTTTTCCTGTTTCGAGGTTCATTACCTGAAGTAGCTTGTTCAGGACCAAGGGAAAGGGCTGTCCCTCCCCACGCCGTCCTGTCTCCGCCCGGCCCGCGTCTGCACGCTCCAGGGAGGCTCGTCAGCTCGAAAGTGGAGGCCGAGGCTGGGCTGGGGCCTGAGCGTAGACAGGTGTCGGGGGCCTCTCCTGCTCCCGCTCCCGCTCCCGGGTTTGAGGACGCAGGTGGCCAGTGGAAGCAGCAGGGCTGGGCCAGCTCTGCGCCTGGGGCCTGGCTGCGTTTCTTCCGCTTGAGCCAGGCCGGTTGGCGGGAGCCAGCCCAGCGTGCACCTGTGGGCTGAGGGAGTCCTGGCGAGAGTCCCGTCCGTCCGGGCTGCGGTGGTGATGGGAGAGCAGAGGGTGGGGCAGGTCACGCCTTGTCATGGCACCTGGAGGCACCGCCCCTCCCCCACAGACACCGCAGGTGGCAGGCGTTGGCGGGAACCATCCTCAGAGCTTTGTGTTTCTGGTTATTTTATTGGGGTCCAGTGTCCAGATTTTTTCCTTGATTGTAAAATATATTTTTACTTTTTAGGTTTCTAACTTAATAAATGATGCATATAAAAATAGAGAAATAAAGTCTGTTAAAGGGAAGTTCACTATGTGTGTCCTGAGTGTTTTTGACCTAGCTCCTGTGCGCAGGGGTCAGGACCGGTCGGCTGCAGTTCCGCGGCGACAGGCCCGTCAGAGGGCTGGGGAAGGTGGGGTCTAGCGGCAGAGGCAGAGCGCTAAGCTGGAGTATTTATGCCACGCGTGAGAATCGCTTGTTTTCTAGTTTAGATTGCGGCAGGGCCGCGCGGGTCTGGGCGTGGTGGGCGGCTCCTCGGCCCCAGCCCTCTGCGGTTCCCTGCTGGGAACTGGGGGTGAGTGAGAGTGTGGCCCCACGTTCCTTGTTCGTGAGGTCTGGCGGGAGCTGTGACGTCCCCTGGTGACCACGCTGGCCCTCGAGCCCTTGCTCCGCCCCAGGCCTGGATGCGGCGTTGGCAGACGCGGGACGTTTTCTCTCTGTGGCCGCAACGAGCACTCACGTAAGAACCGCTGCGGGGCCGCGGCCTCCACCGTGCCCTGCCCCCCCGCCTGGCACTGGGCGCGGCTGCGCCGTGTCTGCTCTTGCAGCTCCCCGAGTGGTGGTTCCGCCAGTGAGTCCACCGCACGGTGACCTTCCGGCCTCAAGCTCTGTGAGTCTGAATATTTTTTGCCCTGAACAGCCGGTAGAAGTCAAGCCTGTCAGTACTAGATGCAAGGCCAAGGAACAAGGGACACTTCTGGAAAACTAGGACAAGACACCAGAGATGCTGGGAGGAACATGGACACCCATCCCTAAACGCAGAGCCGGGCTCGTGGGAAGAGAGGGGGGTGTCCCCAGGTGGTTGGGGTGAAGGGAATGCATGCGCCACACGTCCTCGGGTGGGGCCCAGGGCTGTCCCAGGACGTGGCTCGGTGGCCGCTCGTGGGCAGCTCTGCAGGGATTGCCGGGTGAGCAGAGAGAGCCGAGTCCCGGTGTCCGTCTGCTGCTGGCAGGTGGGCCTGGCACTGCCGGGGATGGGGCCTGCGCCCAAGAGTGGGACCCTCCAGTTGGGGTGCTGGGCACGACCCCCACCGGCAGTGCAATGAGAAGGCGCCGCGCCCATGCTCCTCACGCTCCCTGTGGCCCAGGAGTCCTCGAGGGGAGGGAGCGGCGAGTCGTCCAGAGCAGCCCTGGAGGGAATGCGTGGTTGACGCGGGCCTCGGACAGAAGCCACCCAGCGTGCTCCTGGTGACAGATGTTTGCGCAGGCCGGGGCAGCCGGGCAGCGCCGCCCACGCTGCAGGGTCAAGGGGAGCAGGACGTCTCTGCAAACAGTGCAGCGGGCGCTCGCCTGCTTGGACGGCAAGGTTAAGCAAGAGAAAGCGCAGCGCGGGCACCAAACGCCCCGTGCCAAGGGGGGCCCAGCGGGAGGGTGGAGCTCCCGTGGTGGAGCTGCCGTCCTTGGAATCGGAGTCTCAGTGGCCCGTGGACAGGTGGGATGAGACGAAGGCGCAGCTGCCGGGGACCAAGGACACACCAGGCGGGTTCCAGAGGACGGGCGAGGGAGGCAGAGGACGGGGCTGAGACATCCACAGTTGGCGCAGTGCTGCGCCCCCAGGTCCAGGAATGGTAGCGACCTCGGGAACGTGAAGCTGAATGAACTGCGTAAAACCAGCGGTATTTAACGTGGAGTGAAGTGATCTTAAAATTGGGACCGCAGTGAGGCGGACGCTGGGTCAGTGTCGGGAGACAAACCTCCGTCCTAGCTGCAGCCGCAGGTTAGGCTTGAGGGGCAGCCGCGGGCACGGCGGGACCCCGGGAGGAGGGTCTGCAGTCGGGCGGGATGGCTTGCGCAGTGCAGCCTGCTTGGGGGCCAGACGGGGCTGGGTCCTGGGTCCTGGGCCCTGTCGCCATGTGCCCTCTGGTTGTGGGTGCCGGGGTCTTGGAACCCGCCCAGGAGGCCTCTGGCGTCCACACTGGGCCAGTCACGGCCCCAGAAGCAGACCCCTACGCCAGGCCCCTGCTGCTGAGTCATGGGGGACTCTTGTGGGCTCAGGACTGTGCTGTGCGCCCTCCCTGCGTGCCCTGCTGTCTGTGGTGGTTTTCTGTCCACGCTGGGGCCACGTCGGGGAAACAGCCGGCTCCGCTTCCCTCCCAGCTAGTGCTATGCCTGGCGCCCTGCACAGGGGACGGTGGCCCACGGCGGGCTGGGGGCACACGAGGGGAGGGGGCATCAGGGCCCCAAGGACAGGACATGAGGCCGCAGAGACAGCAGCCTCGGCTGGACCCCAGGGCTCGCCACCCGCGTGTCCACCAGCGCCACCCTGGCCACGCTCAGCCACGGAGGCACACGGGAAAGGCGAGGTCGCGCCCACTTGCATATCCGGGGCTGGTGCAAATGTGGGATGCATGGCGGGGCCAGGCCGAGCGCCCGCCGGAGTCGGCCACACGGAGTCGCCGCGAACACCGCCGCCAGCACTGGGCGGGGGACAGGACGGTGCTTCCTGGGACGCTCCGCGATGGGGGCGGGAGGGCCCGGCCAAGGCAGCCGCTGTGCCTGCAGCAGGCCTGTCGCCACGGCCCTCGGTGCCTCTCGAGTCATCAGCTCCGGCTTCCTCCTGGCTTTGGGCCCGGTCTGGGTCCAGCCTTCCGGCGGGGGCAGCCGGCCAGGCCCGGGGTCCAGGAGGACAGGACCAGACCCTGCGTCCGGGTGGGCGTTTCAGGAGCCGAGACTGAGAGGCGCTCGTCCGGCCGGGAGTCCAGGTCGCGCCATCCTCTGCTGGCCGAGCCTGCGCCCTCTCTGTGGGGCCGCAGGGCTGGCCAGCGCGGGCAGAGCCCCGAGGCCTCTCCCGGGGGCTGGGGGTGCGGACACTCACGGGGGCAGGCGCGGAGGCCGGGCGCGGCCCTCCAGAGGAGCCTCGGCGCGTGCGGAGCTGTGATGCCTCTGCGGCCTCAGGTCTCTTGGGAGGGCGCCCTTCCCTCCCACTGAACACAGCGGAATGCCGGATGGCACACGTGTAAGAGTCGTCCCCGAACTCTTCCGAAAGATGACGAAGAAAAGCGGCGTGTGGGGAGGGGACGGCAGCGGCCCGAGCCCCCGTCCATGAGGCCGTGTGGGGGCGGGGCGGGGTGCGTGGCCAGGCGCAGGGTCTCGGTAGAGGTCACGCTGGTGCAGAGGCCGCGCCGACGGCCGGCAGGGACAGGTGGACTTTGCGTGGTGCGGGCAAAGCCTCCAGCCCCACAAGACACGGTGCAGCCCCATCCCGACCTCGTACCGCGTCCAGAACCCAGTTCTGGCGGACGCAGAGTGCAAAGGCGCAGGCAAAACCGCAGAGCTTAGGGAAACGGTGCGGAAGACAGGACTCCCCATCCGGGCCCGGAAGGGTTTTCTCAAATTAGACCAGAAGCGCTAGCTGCGGGACCGCCCACGCACCCCGTGGCCCCCGGATTCCCGCGAGGCGCGTTTCTCACGTGGACACGATGTGCCGGGCGCTGGCTTCCCCGCTGGCGGCTGTGTTTGCTCTGCAGCGAGTGGCTCACACGGGTCTGGGCAGGGACAGCCCGGTGTGTGGACAGTGCCCTTGTCACCACTCTTCTCTGGAGCGTCAGCTTGGCAGGTGTGGACCTGTGTCCGGAGCCCTGTCCCTGGGCTGCGCCTTGGTCCCCGTGCCCAGCGCCCTCTTCCTCTGTCCGCCTTGTCTTTCTGGCAGCTTCATGACGCTCCTGCCTCCTCCCGAGCACCCGGGCCTGGGTCTCTTCTCTCTCGAGTCTCGCCCCTGCCGAGGTCGGTCGGGGGCCGGTGCCGTGGTTCTGAGGACACCGCCTGCTGCCACGCTCTTCCTCCCGCTGGTGCTTTGGGAAGATGCTGAGGTTTTAGGAGCCACCTCCGAGTCCTCAAATCCTGAACGCCTGCAGTTGCGCCCGCCGACGGGGGCACGGCCATCACCTGCTGCCTCTCCTGAGCTGGCGGCGTTTCCGCAGGGAAGATCTCGGGCCCCAGCAGCGCCTCCTCTGCCGCTGGCGCCTCCCAAATATCTTCCGCTCCGGAATCTGTCTGCTTGACAGACTCGCTTTCTTGTTTCCTGTTGTTGCTATTTTGGTTTCTTCTTTGCTTGTCCTGGTTTTGTTTCTGTGGGGGAGACAGGCCCACTTCCCCCTGGAAGCCAGAGATCCCTTTTGAAAAACACTTAAAGGCCGGGCGCGGTGGCTCACGCCTGTCATTCTAGCTCTCTGGGAGGCGGAGGCGGGCGGATCATTTGAGCTCAGGAGTTCGAGACCAGCCTGAGCAGGAGCGAGACCCCATCTCTACTAAAAACAGAAAGAAATTAGCCGGACAACTAAAAATCGATATAGAGAAAATTAGCCGGGCATGATAGTGCACGCCTGTAGTCCCAGCTACTCGGGAGGCTGAGGCAGGAGGATCGCTTGAGCCCAGGAGTTTGAGGTTGCTGTGAGCTAGGCTGACGCCACGGCACTCTATCCAGAGCAACAGAGTGAGAGTCTGTCTCACAAAAAAACCAAAAAACATTTAAAGTAACATTGTTTTGTTTTTATTCTTTGTGTTTGTTTTTATAGCTGCCCTGTCTGGGGACTCGCGTCCCACTGCCTGGGTCTTGGCCCATCTTTGCCTCTGGCTAATTTGACTCTTTTCCTCCCTTTGTGCCTTGGTTTCCCCCTCTGTAAAGTGGGAGGAATAACAGCACACATTGCACGGAAGCCTTGCGTGTGTGGTGATGGGTGTAAGGAGACGTCACTGGCTCGCATGTGGATGGGAAAGGGGCCTGGCCACAGCCACATAGTGTCAGCTTACAGGACATGACCGCCAGTGGCAGCTGCCTGCAACCTGGTCAGCGCCCAGTCCTGGGGTGGCCTCCCCCCCAGACCTCGGCCAGGCTGGTGGGCATGGCTGGAGCACTGGTGGTGGCCAGAGACAGCCCAGGCCCTCCTCGCCTGGCCCGCCGGGGGGGGGGGGCACAGTGGAACTCAGGCCACCGAGCCCCCACCAGAGGTGTCCTGGGTCAGTGTGGGTGTCGCCTTTGCCCCCCTGGGGTGCAGGCTGCCCCACCCCCCCATGCCCACCTGCCATGCAGCCGGCCCAAAGCCAGGGACAGTCGTACCCGCCCCTGCGGCTCCACCAAGCCCCTGCTGCGCTCGGTGTTCTCTGCTGTGGGCAGAGCAGCTCCCAGATCCAAGTTCCTCTGTGACAAGCGCCCGGAAGAAAACCCACCAGGGAAGGTGTGACAGGACAGGGTGCGCAGGCCGCCCCTCAGGGCCCCGCCCACGTGTGCTGCCCCTGCTGCCTGTCCCCGGGCTGCCCCCGTGGCCCACCAGCTCCTCGGTCCCCCGCACAATCCATGTCCACGTGACGGCCGGGGTGACCTTGGGGTCCTAGGCTGAGCCTGGTCTCTGGCCGCTGCACCCCCAGCCGGAGACCGGCCCTGGGTGCCCAGGGGCTGCGGATGCTGAGCGCTCCCTGCCCCCATGCCGTCCCTCCCCGTGGCCGTGTGGCCCCTCGCTGCCTGCCGGGCCCAGTGCCATCCTGGGGTTTCACCACGGCCTGTGGGCCGACAGAGGGGTGGGCAGGAAGGACGCCAGGACAGGAGACGTGCACGATGCTCAGAGTTTATTAGCAAAACCGGGGCTGGGTGAACAGGGGTGATTGGGGCGCTGAGCCCGCCCTGACCCGGCCACGTGACCTCAGCCCCGGGATCCCCGCCGCAGGCGTGGGCAGGCGGCCCCCTGGCCTGGCGCAGCTCCCTGGTGGGGCCCGGCCTTGCCCAGACTGGCCTGTCTGCTCTCTGGCTGCTGCAGGGGCCGGCTAGCCTCGGTGCGTGGGCCGGGCAGGGGCAGGGCCTGTGGGCAGGGCAGGTGGCAGAGACGGGCCACAGGGTCTGTGAGGGCAGGGCCCGTGCAGGGGCCTCCTCACGGGGGGCCCCACTGACCATCACCCCCGGAGTGCCCGTCCCCTCGACGGGGCAGCAGAAGGTGACAGAGGTGGAGGGAGCCACAGTGGGGTGGGCTCCGTGGAACAGGCCACCTGAGGTTTTCCTGGTCAGTGATGCATGTCCTGGCTCCAGGTGGAGGGGCATGGGGGCCCCTAGACTGGGAGGACAGGGGCATCTGTGGGCGCTGTGGGCAAGGGGACACAGGATGGCTCACAGCCACACTCGTCCACGTGGGTGTAGGTGTGCACGATGGCCGTGCCGTCAGGACACCGCATGGACACGGTCTCCGCGTGGACCCGGCTCTCCTGGCAGCAGGTGCACTGGTGCTCCATGGCCTGGGCCTCCGCTGAGTACCTGCACAGGTGGGGCTGCCCTCAGGACTGGCCACCGTGGCCCTGGCCACCCCTAGGTCTGGGGTGGTTGCCCAGCTGTCCACAAGAGGCCTTACAGTCGCTCTTGGAGCAAGCAGGGCTTTCCCCTCCTGGGAGGATGGGGCAGTTCTCTGGGCATCAGAATCACTTTGAGCCCTGTTCTGTCTTCTGTGGCCTGCCGTGGCTCTTTCCTGAACCAGCTCCTCCCTTTTGCTGACCTCTGGAGACCCTCCCCTGGGACCCCGAGCCCGGCCTCACCCTTCCTCCTGCCTCCCCGGCCAAGGGCTGCCAGCCTCCTGGCCACGCCTGCTCACAGCTGGTCACAGCCCAGGGCTGTGGGCGTCCATGGAAGGCTCTGATTCTGCCCACCCTCCCCAGGTGGACGCTGCCCCTCAGGCCCCCGGACACGAGCCCACAGGCAAGGAGCTCTGTGGGGCGGGGGCAGGGGGCACTTCCTGCCTCCTGTAGCAGGTGTGGGTCCTCCTGGCCCAGCGCAGGGTGCGGACAGGCCCTGTGAGCGCTGTGTGGCTGGGGTGGCCACCCACGTGGGCACACACTCTGGGGGCAGGGCCAGGAGCCCACTCACTTGGACGCTCCGGGGCAGGAGCCCTCGCAGAAGGTGATGTTGACCACCCCCTCGGTCTCGCAGTCCCCATGCCGCAGGACGGTGGTGTTGACGTGGACCTGACACGAGTCTGGGAGGAGAAGAGGCAGTGCAGAGCCCGGCCTTCCACGTGGGACCAGCCCTGCCATCACCCCCGGGCTCGGTGTGGGGTCTCAGTGTCCCTGGGCTCCCCGCGGGAGAAGTCTGGGCAGGAATCCCCAGGATGGGGCCCGGATGGCAGTGGCAGGTTGGCGTGGGAAGGTGGCCTCCACTTACCCACTTCCTCACAGGAGTAGCAGCAGCCAGTTTTCCTCAGGGTTCCCTGCAGGGCCAAGGACACGGGGCGGGGCCTCTCAGGTGGGGCCTCCTGGGTGGTTGGGTCCTCCCAGAATGGGGTGGGGCCTCACAGGTAGGTGGGGCCTATGGATGGGGGGGGCGCCTCCCTGAGGTGGGGGCTAAGGTGGGGTGGGGCCTCCTTGGGTGGGGCTTCCCTGGGCAGGGCCTTCTGGGGTGGGGTGGGGGCTCACAGGTAGGTGGGCCTCTCTGGGTAGGTGGGGCCTCACAGGTAGGTGGGGCCCCTGGGTGGGTGGGGCTTCCCTGGGCAGGGCCTCCGAGTGGGGCGGGGCCTCCGGGCACACACCCTGCAGCTGATCACGTCAGGGCAGGGCGAGGGCTGCGGGATCAGCACGTGTTGCCCGTTCTCGACTTCACAGCGGTACTCGGTGCAGTTGTCCACCTGGCTGTTGACCCAGGTCCCGTTGGGCTGAAATGCAAGGCGGAGGGCGGAGGCAGGGTGGGGATTACCTCGTGTGCTGAGCCGGCTGGGGGTGAGGGTCTCCCAGGAAGGGGCTGAGATGCCCCCACACGCCCTCCTGTTACCTGGACCAGCTGGCCGTCGGGCGTGAGGCAGGCGTGCTGCTCGCACTCCCCGCAGCACTGTCCGGCCACGCTCACGTACTCGAAGCCCTGCAGGACAGGAGGGTGGTCAGCCCCTACAGCCTGGCCTGGCCCCCGTGCACACCCCAGCAGCCCAGTGGCCCTGAGCTGTGTCCCTGCCCTGTTGTCCCCACTTGGCCTCACCCCTGCTTCCAGCATCTCCTCTCTGCCTCCTCCGCCTTCCTGGCCCCTGGCCCTGCTGTTCCCTCTGCTTTGCACTCCCTGCCTCTGTGGGGAGCAAGACCCCAGCCCAGGCTGAGCAGAGAACTCCCCGAGCCCAGCCGCAGGGCGAGCGCACCTGGGGGCAGGTGGTGTTGCAGGCATCCTCCTCACACTGCACGGTCGGGTCCTGGGGGTCCGCAGAGAGGCAGGTGCAGGTGTGGCAGGGGACGACCCCTGGGAAGGTTGTGCCGACCTGCAGTGGGCGGGAGGGTGGCACCGAGGGCACGGGGGACACCAGGGCCGGGACCCCTCCCTGCGGCAGGCGGGGCCCACGGGCCAGTCTCCCTGGCAGGGGCGGGACCTGGCGGGTGTGTTCTGCACACGCTCTCACTGGGCGGCCCTGGAGCTGACCTCTCGGAGGAAGGTGCCCCCAGAGCCCCTCTGCCGCCCCGCCCCCTGGCGGGAACGTCGTGGTCAGGATGGGGGCCCAGAGGGACGTAGGGCCCCTCACAGACGATCAGGCCCACCCCCAGACGCCGCGTCCTTACCCCATAGTGGGTGCCATTGTAGGTGCACAGCTTAGGTGCTGAGAAGAAAGAGGGCTGCGCTCAGGTGGCGGCAGGGAGGAAACCCTCGCCCGCCCCGCCCCTCCCTTCTCCGCCAGCCCCACTCACTGCAGACGAAGGTGGGGCAGCACTGGCCCTCCTCCTGGGTGCGGGTGGGCACCTGCCCAGGCCCACAGGTGGGCGGGCTCGGGGGCGGGCAGGTGGTGGTGTTGCAGACTGCGGGACAGGTGGGTGCCGTCAGGGCGCTTCCTGCCTCCCGTGGACAGCGCCTCCCACGTTGCAGCCAAACAGGTGTTTTCTCCTCGGGGCTGCCCACGCCATGGCCCTTCCTGCCTCCCCCAGCCCCCTCCGTCCCTGGGCTGTACCTGGGCAGGCCAGAGGTCACAGCCTCCTCTCCAGGTGGCAAAGTGGGGCAGCTCGAGCTGCGGTGCCCTGCCGTCAGCTGCGGCCCAGCGGGACGCCCCTCTGCACCCCCCGGCCCCCCAGTGCTGCGCCCGGGGTCTTACCGCACACCGTCTCGGGGCAGCAGGGCTCGTCGGCCCGAGGCCTGGTCACGGCGACCACGCCGGCCCCGTCACAGGTCGGGGGCTGGGCCTGGGGCTCGCAGCGCTTCGGCTCGCACTGCACGGACACCGAGCCCTCGTCGCACACGCAGTCCTGGCACTGGCTCACCCACCGCTCGCCGGGCTGGAACAGACCGGGTCAGGGTCCCCAGGGGCTCAGGACGCGGTCGGCCCCGGGCATGCTGGGACCCCGCCAGGTGCCGTCTCCGGAGGGGCGCAGAGTGACGGGGCAGGGAGCCCACGCCTGCCGCGGGACACGTCCACATTGCCCGCCACACCCGCCACGCCGCAGCTGCCGGCACAGCTGCCCCCAGATGGGCGTGCTCCCTCCCTGCCTCCCGAGGGGTGGGGCTGGTGGGGCGGAGCCACTCACCAGTTTGGGAAGCCCGTCAGGTCCCACGCAGGCTGGAGGGAAAGGAGCAAAGGTCACTGAGGGTGCTGGGTCCGGGCGGCGGGCAGAGGCCACTTGCCGCCATGGTGTGCGCTCAGCCTGGCTGCTGCTGTCCCCGGGCCAGGCCTGTCTCCCCAGGGAGGAGGCCCCAGAGGGCTGGCGGGCGTGTGGGGCGTGTGGCTGGGGTTCGGGTCAGGTCGCCAGGAGCCCCGCTCTGCGGTGCGTGGGGGCCCCGACCTGGCAGGTGGCGTGGACCCCCCCTGGGGCCTTACTAACCCAGGCCCTCCTCCCAGCCCACGGCGACACGTCCGGGCAGGGGGGCGGAGCTTACCGCAGGTGTGCACACAGATGTCCTTGAGCGTGTTGAAGAGGATCTGGCCGTCGGGGCAGAAGCAGCCCTCCGCCAGCCCCCCACTCACTGGGCTCTGGCTCCTGCACAGCCAGAAGGGCAGTCCTGGGGCCCTGCGCTGTGGGGGGCCCCCTCGCACCCTTGTCCCTGTGAGCCCCGTGACGGGCAGGGGACCGATGGACAGAGGGAGGATCGGGGTCCAGGGTCGGGGTGGGGTATGGGTGCCCACCGGCTTGTCTGTAAGGCCAGCAGAGTGACGGGGGTGCTTCCAGGGAGCCCTGGGGTCGGGGGGTATCTAGAGATCGGGGCCCAGAGACCAGACGTCCTCTGCTCTCCTCCACTCCCCCACGCCCCCGCTTACCTGGAGTCGCAGGACTCAGGCTGCACGGGGCCGCAGGGCTTGTACACCTGGGCTGGCGGGCAGGGGAGGTCTGTGGGCACAAAGAGGGGTCAGACAGGCCGAGGTGACTGGAGCCCCTGGGCCGTCCCTGACTCACCGCACAGCCCGCCAGTGGCGTTGCGCCAGTCGCTGCACACGCCGTGGGCGCGGCACAGTGCCGCGTAGGCCTCCAGGCTCTGGCAGGGCACCCCGGGGTGGCTGGAGCGGCAGCCGTCGCTGATGCAGGCGTTGACGAACGGGCCGGGCGGGACGAGGCCGTGGCACTCGGCAAAGACCCTGTGGACGGGAGGTCAGGGCCAGGAGCACCGCGCCCCAGCCAGCCAGGCCTGGGCCCGGGCAGGGCGTGCCCCAGGGCCTGCCGCCCCACAGGAAATACTCACGGGCTCAGCAGGAGCTCGCAGAGGGGCTCTGGGGGGCACTGGGTCGGCGTGGGCCTGTGGGGTGTTGGGGACATGGGGCTGGCGGTCGGGGGGGCGCCTGTCGGGGCCCAGCAGCCGTCTGGGCTGTCGTCCGGGACCAGCCAGGACTTGGCCATGTCCTTGCAGGTGGGGGCTATGGTGCCATCCGGCCGGCGGCAGTCGTCCTTCTGGTTGTTGGTGCAGGTGCCTGGGCAGGACGGGCACCGCTGGGCTGGGCGCTGAGCAGCCTCCCGAGGCCCCGCCCTTCCCCTGTGGCCGCTCGGGACCCAGGCCCGGGGGGGGGGCCCTGCGGGCCGGGCCGCACCACTCACCACACTGGCCCTCCGTGTTGTTGCCGAAGAGGCTGTAGGACAGCCGGACCTGGAAGCTGTGCCCGTCAAAGGTGATGCTCGCGCCGATGGCGGGAATGTCGACGCCCATGGTGCCGGCGCCGGTCAGGGACACGCTCACGCCACGCTTGGTGAAGCCCCTGGTCACCCGCACGCGGCCGAAGAGGATCTGGGGGCACACGGGGGCCTGTGACCGGGGGCAGGGCCCAGCACCCCTCACCCCGAAGCTGGGCTCTCCCTTGGGCCCGGGGCCTGCAGCGGCTGTGCCTGGGCCCCGTGGGCGTGCCCTGCCCCTCGGGGCTGCCGCGGGCAGAGCGGGGCCAGAGCGTCCGCAGCCGCCCTTTCCCGCCCGCCAGGTGGGGACCAGGCCTCGGCCCGACCGCCGGCCCGGCTCACCAGGCTCTCCTCCTTCCCGCGGACGGTGGTGGTGGTGAGGACGATGTCCATGGACTCGTAGTGGATGCTGAGGGCGCGGGGGCAGCCAGTGGCAGAGGCGGGGGCTGAGGGCCCACAGTAGTGGCTGTACAGGAGGACGGTGAGGTTCCCGTGGCGCGGGTGGATCTCTCTCACCAGGACGTAGGTGCAGTTGTCCAGGAAGGAGTAGGAGGTGCCGTCGAAGGTCAGGTAGTGGGAGTCGCCCCACCCGCTGCAGGAGCCTGGGGACAGGACACAGGAGGCTGGAGGGCCCTGCGGCCACCGCCTGAGCCCTCCACTTCCGTGGTCGCCCAGCGTCACCACCGTGACTGTCACCTCGGGAGCCACTCAAGCCTCTTCTATAAAAGGGTTACCACGCGTTGAATGGTGCCCCAATATCCACGTCCACCCGAGAACCGTGAATGTGCCCTTGTTGGGAGGAAGGTCTCTGCAGGTGTGGTGGAGTGAAGGATCTGGACACGAGATCATCCCAGACCACCCGGGGGGGGGGCCCCAGATCCCGCGACGGGGGCCTTGTGAGTGACCGGAGAGACACAGACACGGGGAGAAGCCACGTGGGGCAGAGGCCGAGGTTGGGGTGATGCAGCCACAAGCCAGGGTGGGGGTCTCTGCAGCCCCCAGAGCTGGGAGGGGGGGGTCCCCCCGAGCTCTGCAGGGAGCACGGGCCTGCCCGCTCCACCTCCAGGCTCAGGCTCGGGGCTAGGGGACTCCGTGTCCGCTGTCTGGAGCCGCCTGGTGTGTGGCTGTGTGTGGCGGCAGCCCCGGGACACGGACATGGCAGGGTAGTCAGAGCCCCACCTCCTCTTAGCAGTGCGTCCTGCTCCGTAATGGGGGCCGTCGTTAGGACCCCAGGAAATGGCACTTCCCGCGACCATCCTGCACGTCCCCTGGCCTAAGAACCCACGGCTGGTCCGCGGCCTGGCGCAGATGCGCTCGGCAGGCCGGCCTCGGGCTCCCCTCCAGCCCGGGCACTCTCGGCAGCCTGCACGTCAGCAGGACCCCAGTGGGCCCCCATGGCTGGCCTGGCTTCTGAAGTGACAAGCTGCAGATCTCCCAAACACCCAGCCACACCCCCTCTGCCAGCCTGGCCACCACCACGTGTGTCCCGCGTGGGGGTCACACCCGGCATGTGCTCACACTCGCACTCGTAGTGGAAGTCGCAGGGCTGGCTCTGGTTCCACACTTTGAGGGGCTGCTGCCCGTTGACACAGGTGACGTTGGCTACCGGCTTGGGTGGGAGCAGGACGATGTGGTTGTCACCCTCGCACCTGGCCACCATGCAGTTCTCCAGGGTCCAGGACTCATTCACCTGGGCAGGGAACACACATGGTGCTCCTTTGGGCTGACTTCGGGGACCCTCCCCAGCCACCCCCCACCCTAACTGCCTGTAGCCTCAGGTACCCCATGGCCATAAGAACCTGCCTGCAGAGGGTCACTGAGGCAGGCCCAAGGACCTAAGCCGGGCTGTGCCCCTCTCAGACTAAGGGTGGTACAGGGGGAAAGTGGGGCCCACCTGTCGGGGAGGGATGGCGTTATCACAGCCAGGGGGTGGAGAGGTGGGAGGCAGGGGAGTAGAGGGTGCCGGTGGTGGGGAGGTGGGACAGTGCCCCTGGAAACGTTCGATGTCACAGTGCTCAGTGCAGACGGCGTAGAACTCGCAGCCAGCTCTGTCAGTCTTATTGTAGATGACGTCCCCTGGCAAAGAGAGAACCATACGAGATGTAGCCACATCCAGGGACCATCCAGTCGAACCCTGGGGACAGCACAGGCAGAGCTGGGGGCGGAGGGAGCAGGTGTCGCAGGTGGGCCCCGGGACAGGGCGGAGACTGATTGCGGCTGTGGGGGAGAGCCATAAGCTCCAAGGCAGACCCAGCTGCCGTGGAATCTGCCGTGGAAAGGACCACGGGGACCCACAGACTCACCAGGGGAGAACAGCTGTCCGAATGCCTGGCAGAAGCAGGGCGTCTGGGAGAAGGAGGAGCTGGGGGAGCTGGTGGGCCTGAGGGTGGTGATGACCGAAGTGGACCTGGTGGACGTGCTGGAAGCTGGCAGGCTGCTCGGGGAAACCACCGCGGTGTGAGTGGTCCAGGGGGCAGAGGAGGGGGTTGCCGTGGAGCCGGTAGCCGTGGGTGTGCTGGCGCAGTGGCTGTAGTCATCACAGCACAGCAGGCGCATGTGGAAGTTGTCACAGTATTTCACGGGCCCGAGCTGGTCGCGGTTCCTGCACACCAGCCCAAAACGCACGTCGCAGTACACCACCTGCCCCACCGCCTCCAAGGGCTTGTCCGGCTTCTTCTCGGAGCGGCACTGGATGTCCTGGGGGTGCTCACAGAAGGTGTGGCCAGCTGCGCGGATGACCGCATAGGTCTCAAAGTCCCCGCCATCGGGGCCAGGGATGGGGTAGTCCTCATCGAACCAGTCTGTCCAGGCGCACCGAGGCGCACAGCCCTTGCTGGGAGTGGGACGGCTGGAGGGGAGGGTGGTGCCAGTGGTGCGCCCGGAGCTGGAGGTCAGCAGGGGGGCCGTGTGTGGGGTGCTGGTCAAGGGTGGCCTGGTGGACGTAGTCAGGGTCCCAGAGGTGGGCTTCCCTGTGGTGTGGAAGAGGCTGGTGGTGGAGGCCGGCAGGTTTGAGGGGCTGGGGACAGAGAAGTTCAGGTTCCTCTGGGTGGTGGAGATGACCCTTTGGGTGATTGGAGGGGAGGTGGTGGCTGTGGTTGAGGGTCTTGTCACCGAAGATGACCTGGTAGCCAATGAGGTAGTAGAGGGGGAGGTGGTACCCAGGGAAGTGGTGGCTGTGGAAGTTGTGCCCATGAAGGTTGTGCCTGGGGAGGTGGTGGCTGAGGAGGTGGTGGCCGGGGAGGTGGTTCCTGTGGAAGTAGTGCCTGAGGAGGTAGTAGCTGTGGAGGTGGTGGCCAGGGAGGTGGTGGCTGTGGAGATTGTGCCCCTGGAGGTGGTGGCCGGGGAGGTGGTGGCTGTGGAGGTGGAACCTGTGAAGGTTGTGCCCCTGGAGTTGGTGGCCGGGGAGGTGGTGGCTTTGTGAGGTCGTGGCTTATGGAGTGGACCGTGGAGCGTTGTGCCCTATGGAAGAGTGAGGGCCCGGGGAGGTGGTGGCTGTGGAAGTGGTGGCTATGGAGGTGGAACCTGTGAAGGTTGTGCCCCTGGAGGTGGTGGACGGGGAGGTGGTGGCTGTGGAAGTGGTGGCTATGGAGGTGGAACCCGTGGAGGTTGTGCCCCTGGAGGTGGTGGCCGGGGAGGTGGTGGCTGTGGAGGTGGAACCTGTGAAGGTTGTGCCCCTGGAGTTGGTGGCCGGGGAGGTGGTGGCTGTGGAAGTGGTGGCTATGGAGGTGGAACCTGTGAAGGTTGTGCCCCTGGAGGTGGTGGACGGGGAGGTGGTCGCTGAGAAGGTGGTTCCTGTGGAGCTGGTGACTGAGAAAGTTGTGGCTGTAGAGGTGGTGCCCATGGAGGTGATGGATGGAGAGGTGGTTCCCATAGAGGTGGTGGCTGGGGAAGTAGTAGCTATGGAGGTGGAACCTATGGAGGTTGTGCCAATGGAGGTGGTTCCTGTGGAGGTTGTGCCCATGGAGGTAGTGGCTGTGGAGGTGGTGGCTGTGGAGGTGGCAGAGGATGTGGTCACCGTGGAGGTGATGGCGGAGGAGGTGCTGGCAGAGGAGCTGGTAGCTGGGGAGGTGGTGGCTGTGGAGGTGGTGGCTGGGGAGCTGGTGGCTGTGAAGGTGGTTCCTGTGGCGGTAGTCCCTGAGGGGGTGGTGGCTGTGGATATTGTGCCAATGGAGGTGATGGCTAGAGAGGTGGTTCCGGCAGAGGTTGTGCCCCTGGAGGTGGTTTCTGTGGAGGTTGTACCTGGGGAAATGGTGACTATGGAGGTGGAACCTGTGGAGGTTGTGCCAGTGGAGGTGGTGGCTGGGGAGGTGATGGCTATGGAGGTGATGCCTGAGGAGGTGCTGGCGGAGGAGCTGGTAGCCGGGGAGGTGGTGGCCAGGGAGGTTTTTCCTGTGGAAGTGGTGGCTGTAGAGGTGGAACTCGTGGAGATTGTGCCCTTGGAGGTAGTGGCTGGGGAGGTGGTGGCTGGGGAGGTGGTGGCTGAGGAGGTGGTTTCTGTGGAGGTAGTGACTGAGAAGGTGGTAGCTGTGTAGGTAGTGGCTGGAAAGGTGGTGGCTGTGGCAGTGGTAGATGACATCGCTGTAGAGATGATGCCTGAGGAGGTGCTGGCAGAGGAGCTGGTAGCTGGAGAGGTGGTGGCTGTGGAGGTGATGGCTGCGGATGTTGTGCCAATGGAGGTGGTGGCCAGAGAGGTGGTTCCGGTAGAGATTGTGCCTGGGGAGGTGGTTTCTGTGGAGGTTGTACCTGTGGAAGTGGTGGCTACGGAAGTGGAACCTGTGGAGGTTGTGCCAGTGGAGGTGGTGGCTGGGGAGGTGGTGGCTGTGGAGGTGGCAGATGACATGATTGCTGTGGAGGTGATGCCTGAAGAGGTGCTTGAAGAAGAGCTGGTGGCCAGCGAGGTGGTGGCTGTGGAAGTGGTGACTATGGAGGTGGCTCCCGTGGAGGTTGTGCCATTGGAGGTGGTGGCTGGGGAGGTGGTTCTCATTTTGGTTGTGCTGGTGGAAGTGGTGGCTATGGAGGTGGAACCTATGGAGGTTGTGCCCACTGAGTTGCTGGCTAGGGAGGTGGTTCCTGAGGAGGTTGTGCCTGGAGAGGTAGTGGCCAGGGAGGTGGTGGCTGGGGAGGCGGTAGCTGTTGAGGTGGCAGATGAAGTGATCACCGTGGAGGTGATGCCTGAGGAGGTGCTGGCAGAAGAGCTGGTAGCTGGGGAGTTGGAGGTTGAGGAGGTTGTGCCAATGGAAGTGGTGGCTATGGAGGTGGAACCCGTGGAGGTTGTGCCCCTGGAGGTGGTAGCTTGGGAGGTGGTGGCTGGAGAGGTGGTTCCTGTGGAGGTGGTTCCTAGGGAGGTTGTTCCCATGGAGGTAGTGTCTGGGGAGGTGGTGGCTGTGGAGGTTATGCCTGAGTAGGTGGTGGCCGAGGAGGTGGCAACTGAGGAGGTGGTTCTTATGGATGTAGTGACTGAGAAGGTTGTGGCTGTGGAGGAGGTGGCTGCAGAAGTGGTGGCTGTGGACGTGTTGACCGTGGGGGTGGTGGCTGTGGAGGTTGTGCCTGTGGATATAGTGGCTGGGGAGTTGGTGGCTGAGGAGGTGGTTCCTATGGAGGTAGTGACTGAGAAGGATGTGGCTGTGGAGGTGGTGGCCAGGGAAGTGGTGGCTGTGGAGGTCTTGATCCTGGGGATGTTGGCTGTGGAGGTGGTGCCTGTTGAAATGGTGGCTATGGAGGTGGAACCTGTGGAGATTGTGCCCCTGGAGGTGGTGGCTGAGGAAGTGGTTCCCCTGGAAGTAGTGCCTGAGGAGGTGGTAGCTGTGGAGGTGGTGGCCGGGGAGGTGGTGGCAGAGGACTTGGTGGTCATGGAAGTGACCCCTGAGGAGGTGCTGGTGAAGGAGCTGGTGGCTAGGGAGGTGGTGGCCAAGGAGGTGGCGACTGGGGAAGTGGTGGCCGGGGAGTTGGTTCCTGTGGAGATGGTGCTTGAGGAAGTGGTGGCTGGTGCGGTGGTGACTGTGGAGGTGGCAGAGGATCTGGTTGCTGTGGAGGTGATGCCCGAGGAGGTGCTGGCAGAAGAGGTGGTAGCTGGGGAGGTGGTGGCTGAGGAAGTGGTTCCCGTGGAAGTAGTACTTGAGAAGGAGGTGACTGGAGAGGTGGTGGCCAGGAAGGTGGTAGCTGGGGAAGTGGTGGCAGAGGAGGTGGTGGCTGTGGAGGTGGCAGAGGACGTGGTTGCTGTGGAGGTGATGCCTGAGGAGGTGGTGGCTGGAGAGGTGGTGGCTGAGGAGGTGGTGGCCAGGGAGGTGGTGCCTGTCTGTGTGGTGGAGACTTTTATACTTTTGGTGATTGCAGAGGAGGTGGTGGGCAGGGAGGTGATTCCTGTGGAGATGGTGCCAGAGGAGGTGGTGGCTAAGGAGGTGGTGACTGGGGAAGTGGTGGCCGGGAAGTTGGTTCTTGTGGAGATGGTGCCTGAGGAGGTGTTGGCTGGGGAGGTGGTGGCAGAGGATGTGGTGGTTGTGGAGGTGATGCCTGAGGAGGTGCTGGTGAAGGAGGTGGTGGCTGGAGAGTTGGTGGCTGAGGAGGTGGTGGCTGTGGAGGTGGCAGAGGATGTGATTGCCATGGAGGTGATGCCTGAGGAGCTGCTGGCGGAAGAGCTGGTAGCTGGGGAGGTGGTGGCTGAGGAAGTGGTGACTGGGGAGGTGGTGGCTGAGGAGGTGGTTCCTGTGGAAGTGGTGGCTATGGAGGTGGTGCCTGAGTAGGTGGTGGCTACAGAGGTGGCTGAGGAGGTGGTGGCTGAGGAGGTGGTTCCCTTGGAAGTAGTGCCTGAGGAAGTGGTAGCTGTGGAGGTGGTGGCCAGGGAGGTAGTGGTTGGGGAGGTGGTGGCAGAGGACGTGGTGATTGTGGAGGTGATGCCTGAGGAAGTGCTGGTGAATGAGCTGGTGGCCAGGGAGGTGGTTACTGGGGAAATGGTGGCCGAGGAGGTGGTGCCTGTGGAAATGGTAGCTATGGAGGTGGAACCTGTGGAGATTGTACCCCTGGAGGTGGTGGCTGAGGAAGTGGTTCCCCTGGAAGTAGTGCCTGAGGAGGTGGTAGCTGTGGAGGTAGTGGCCAGGGAGATGGTGGCTGGGGAGGTGGTGGCTTTGGAGGTAGCAGAGGATGTGGTGATTGTGGAGGTGATGCCTGAGGAGGTGCTGGTGAAGGAGCTGGTGGCAGGGGAGGTGGTGGCTGAGGAAGTGGTTCCTGTGGAGGTGGAGCCAGGGGAGGTGGTGGCTGTGGAGGTTGCGCCCGTGGAAGTGGTGGTCATGGAGGTGGTGCCTGAGTAGGTGGTGGCCACAGAGGAGGTAGCCAAGGAGGTGGGGGCTGAGGAGGTGGTTCCTGTTGAGGTTGTGCCCCTGGAGGTGGTGCCTGTGGAAGTGGTGGTTATGGAGGTAGAACCCGTGGAGGTTGTACCCTTGGAGGTAGTGGCTGGAGAGGTGGTGGCTGAGGAGGTGCTGGTGGAGGAGCTGGTGGCTGGGGAGTTTGGTTGGCTGAAGGAGGTGGCTTGGGCCACGGGAAGGTTGCTTGCCAGGGAGGGTTTGTGGCCTGTTTCTGGTTGGGTTGTGGGTGGAGAACTTTAACACTTTTGGTGGAATTGGGCCAAGAAGGAGGTGGGTGGGGGCCAAGGATGTGGGTTTTTCCTGTTTGGAAATGGTTGCGCAGAGGAAAGGTTTGGGTTGGATAAGGGGAGGTGGTGGAAAACCTGGGAACGTGGTGGCTGGGGAGGGTGGCGGCAAGAGAAATGTGGTGGGCCTGGGAGGTAAAATGCGCTGGAGGTTTGGCTGGTGGGCCAGAGAGGGCGGTGGGCTGAAAGAGGTGTGGCTGGTGAAAGGCAGGCAGTTTGGGAGGTGGCAAAAGGATGTGGGTCACTGTGGAGGTGATTGCCTGAGGAAGCCTGCTGGCGGAAAGAGCCTGTTAAACTGGGGCAGGTGGTGGCTTAACGGAAGTGGGTCCCGTGAAATAGTGGCCCTGAAAGGAGGTGGTTGGCACGTTGAGGTTGCTGGGCCCAGGGAGGGATTTGGCGCTGGAGGAGGGTTGCCAGGGAAGGTGGCTTTTGGGCCCGACCGGAGGGGGTGACTGTGGGAGGTTTGGTGGCTTGAAGAAAGGTAGGTTGCCTCTGGTGGATTTGTGGAGCCCTGGGAGGTTGGTGGCTGTGGAGGTTGTTTTTGGCCCGTGGAAGTTCGTTGGCCACAGAAGGAGGTTGGCCCAAGGAAGAGGGTGGTTGCCTGAAGGAGGTGGTTCCCTGTTGAAAAGGGGGGTGTTTGGCCTTCTGAAGGTTGGTGCCTTTGTGGAAAGGTGGTGGCTATGGAGGCTAGAACCCGTGGAGGTTGTTACCTTGAGTAAGTGGACTGGAGAAGGGTGGCTGGCTGAGGAGGTGCTGGTGGAGGAAAGGTCTTGGTGGGCCTGGAGTTTTGGTTCTTTTGGGCTTGAGGAGGTGGTGGCCAGGGAGGTGGTGCCTGTCTGGGTGGTGGAGACTTTTACACTTTTGGTGATTGCAGAGGAGGTGGTGGGCAGGGAGGTAGTTCCTGTGGAGATGGTGCCAGAGGAGGTGGTGGCTAAGGAGGTGGCAACTGGGGAAGTGGTGGCCGGGGAGTTGGTTCCTCTGGAGATGGTGCCTGAGGAGGTGGTGGCTGTGGAGGTGACAGAGGACATGGTGGCTGTGGAGGTGATGACTGTGGGGGTGCTGGTGAAGGATCTTGTGGCCAGGGAGGTGGTGGCTGAGGAGGTGGTGACTGTGGAGGTGGAGCCTGGGGAGGTGGTGGCTGTGGAGGTGGTGCCTGTGGAAGTGGTGGCTATGGAGGTAGAACCCGTGGAGGTTGTACCCTTGGAGGTAGTAGCTGGAGAGGTGGTGGCTGAGGAGGTGCTGGTGGAGGAGCTGGTGGCTGGGGAGTTGGTGGCTGAGGAGGTGGTAGCCAGGGAGGTGGTGCCTGTCTGGGTGGTGGAGACTTTTACACTTTTGGTGATTGCAGAGGAGGTGGTGGGCAGGGAGGTGGTGGCTGAGGAGGTGGTGACTGTGGAGGTGGAGCCTGGGGAGATGGTGCCAGAGGAGGTGGTGGCTAAGGAGGTGGCTGGGGAGTTGGTTCCTGTGGAGATGGTGCCTGAGGAGGTGGCAGCTGTGGAGGTGACAGAGGACACTGTAGCTGTGGAGATGCCTGTGGAGGTACTGGTGAAGGAGCTTGTGGCCAGGGAGGTGGTGGCCAAGGAGGTGGAGCCTGGGAAGGTGGTGGCTGCGGAGGTTGTGCCCGTGGAAGTGGTGGCTATGGAGGTGGAGCCTGAGTAGGTGGTGGCCACAGAGGAAGTGGTGGCTGAGGAGGTGGTGCCCATGGAAGTAGTGCCTGAAGAGGTGGTGCCTGTGGAAGTGGTGGCTATGGAGATGGAACCTGTGGAGGTTGTGCCCCTGGAGGCAGTGGCTGGAGAGGTGGTGGCTGAGGAGGTCGTTTCAGTGGAGGTAGTGGCTGAGAAGGTTGTTGCTGTGGAGATGGTGGCTGAGGAAGTGGTGGCTGTGGACGTGTTGACCGTCGGGGTGGTGGTTGCGGAGGTTGTGCCCATGGATGTAGTGGCTGGGGAGTTGGTGGCTGAGGAGGTGGTTCCTGTGGAGGTAGTTCCTGAGGAGGTGGTAACTGGGGAGGTGGTTCCTGTGGAGGTAGTTCCTGAGGAGGTGGTAACTGGGGAGGTGGTTCCTGTGGAGGTAGTTCCTGAAGATGGTGCCTGGGGGAGGGTGTGGCTGGGAGGTGGTGGAGAGGGATGTGGGCCATGAGGTGATGCCTGAGAGGTGCTGTGAAGGAGCTGGTGGGCTCGGAGTGGTGCTGAGGAGTGGTGCCTGAGAGTTGGTGACTGGGTGGTGGCTAAGGAGTGGGTAGCTGTCGTCGAGGCTAGGCCCCACTGATGACCACAAGTGGCTGGGGTGGACAGTGTGCTGTGGGGTGTGGGCCGACGGGTGTGGAGCTGGGCAGGGCGCTGGTGGTGCTCGGCATCAGTGGCCTGGAGTCCAAGCAGCGCACGTTTCGGATGTGGTTAGTTGAGGCAGGTCTGCCTGACTTCTGCCTGTGGTTCTGAGATGAGACCGTAGCGACATCCACCGCACCACTGTCCCAGCAGCCCCAGGGACACAACCTGGGAAGAGCACAGCTCGCATTGATGGCTATCTCCC